AGCCATTCTTTGTGGGATGAGGTGGAATCTCAGTGTTGTTCTCATGTGTATCTCTCAAATGACCAGTGATGTTGAACATTTTTTCATATATTTATTTGCTGCTTTTCCTTCTTTGTCTGAGAAATGTCTGTTCATTTCCGATGCCCATTTAATCAGGTCTTTATAATTGTTTCTCTTGCAATGCAGACACATTTTAATAAGAAGAGATCCCAGTTGTTGATTTTTTGTGCTAGTTCCCATGCTACTGAGGATTTGTTCATGAAGTCTTTTCCTATGCCAATGTCTTCAAGAGTTCTGCCTAACTTATCTTCCAGCAAATTTAGTGTTTCTTTTTTAATATTTAGATCTTTAAACCACTTGCATTTCAGTTTAGTGCATGGTGAAAGATAAGGGTCTAGTTTTAATCTTTGGCATGTTGAAAACCAGTTTTCCCAACACCATTTATTAAAGAGGCTATCTTTCCTCTAGTGAGGATGGTTGGTTCATCAAAGATGAGTTAGCTGAGTACATCTGGAGTTGATTCTGTATCTTCCAGTCTATTCCACTGATCCTCAGGTCTGTTTCTTTGCCAGTACTATGCTGTTTTTATCACAGTGGCTTTGTACTATAGTTTCAAGTTGGTAATTGTTATACCCCCCTGCCACGTCTTTGTTGCCTACAATGGCTTTTGCTATTCTAGGTCTCTTCTGGTTCCAAATGAATTTTTGGATTTTTATTTTCTAGTTCTGTGAAATATAATGTTGGAATTTCAATTGGAATTGCATTGAATCTGTAGCAGTTTTGGTAGTATGGCCATTTTCACTATGTTGCTTCTTCCTACCCAAGAGTACTGGATATCTTTCCATTTTCTTATATCCTCTTTGGTCTCTCTCTCTCTCTCTCTTTGGAGTGTTATAGTTTTCAGTGCAGAGGTCTTTTGCTTCTTTCATTAGATTGATTCCTACATGCTTCATTTTTTGGGGATGTTATTGTGAAAGGAATTGTTCTCTATTTTCTTGCTCAGTGAGTCTGTTATTTGTGTACAAGAAGGTTATTAATTTTTTAGTGTTGACCTTTTATCAAACTACTCTGCTGAAAGTGTCAATTAAGTCTAGAAGTCTTTTGGCAGAGTTTTTTGGGTCTTCTATGTAGAGTATCATATCTTCTGCAAATAATGACAGTTTAACATTTCCTTTCTGTATTTATTGCTTTCTTTCTGTTGTCTAATTGTTGTGACTAATGTTTCCAGAACTATATCAAAGAGGAGTGGTAATAGTGGGCATCCTTGTCTTATTCCTGACTTTAACATGAAGGTTTTCAGTTTTTGGCCATTTAGTATGATGTTGGCTGTTGGTTTTTCATAGATAGCCTTTATCAAGTTGAGATAAAGACTATCTATTTTTTGCAGGGTTTTTACCATGAATGGGTGTTGAATTTTGTCAAATGCTCTTTTTGCATCTATTGAGATCATCATATGGTTTTTGTCCTTGACTCTATTATAGAGTGTATTACATTTATTGATTTATATATGTTGAACCATCCTTGCATCCCTGGAATAAATCTGACTTGGTCAGGGTGTATGATCTTGATGATCCTCTGTATTCTGTTTGCCAGTATCTTATTAAGGATTTTTGCATCTTTATTCATTAAGGACATTGGCCTGCAGTTCTCTTTTTTAGTTGAGTCTTTCCCTGGGGAAACAAAATAAGACATTTCCAGGAATGCATTTGGAAGTACTGCTTCCCTTTCAGTTTCATTGAAAAGTTTAAAGCATAGTGACAGAAGTTCTTCTCTAAATGTCTTGTAAAATTCAGCACTGAATCCATCGGGACCTGGGCTTTTTTTATTGGTAAACTTTGAATTATATTTTCAATTTCACTGATTGTAATTGGGGTGTTTAGAATTTTTTTGTCTTCAACTTTTTTATTTCAGAAGTATCTAGAAATCTGTCCATTTGTTCTGTTTTCCATTTAATTAAAGTACAGATTCACAAAGTCAGTGTTTATGATCTTCTGAATTTCTGCTGGATCTGTTGTGACTTCACCTTTTTCATTTCTAATTGCATGGATCTGAGCCTTTCCTTTTTTTGACAAGGTTAGCTAAGGGTTTATTGATTTTATTTATTCTTTAAAAAAAACACTTCAATTCATTGATTGTTTTGTATCATTTTCTTAGTTTCCATTCCATTGATTTCTCCTCTAATCATTATAATTTCCTCCCTTGTATGATCTTTGAGTTTTTCTTGTTCTTCTTTATGTAGGGGCCTAAGACTCATCATTAGGTTATTTGAGCTTGCTCTGTTTTCCTATGGAAATCAATATGGAGATACCTCAAAAAACTAGGACTAGAGGTTCCATTTGACCAAGTTATTCCTCTGCTGGGTATTTTCCCAAAAGAATTAGAAGAATCATACCACAGTGATATATGCACATCCATGTTTATATTGGCACAGTTTGTAATAGCTAAAACTTGGAAACATCCCATTTGCCCATCAGTTGGAGACTGGATAAAGAAGATGTGGTTTTTCTATAAACTGGAATACTACTCAGCCATAAAGAATGAGAAATTAGAGACATTAATTAATAGGAAAATGGATGCATATTGAGCTTGTACTATTAAGTGAAATAAGTCACACGTGTGTAAATACTAAATAGTTTCTCTGGTGTGAAAAACTATAATTGTAAATAAGATCCTAATGGTATAATTGACAATGTGTAATAGGAAGAGAAGGACTAAAGATGTAGAGGAAGTAGGAAGAGTAGGGGAGAGGAAATAAGGGAAAAGAAAAAATATGAGAAAATAAAAAATGGAAATAGTTTTTGTAAATAGGAAAGGGAGGAGGGGGTGAAGGGAAGGCAGGGGTATGGGGAAAATAAATGAGAACCAAGACCTGTCATGTAAAGGTACAAATCCCAATGATGAATGTAACTGCACTGTATACCTAAAATGTACCAATAAACTCAATGATAAAAAAAAAATTAACACAACATTCTTACAGTCTTCAACTTGGGAATAATCTGCTCATTTTGAAAAATTAGATGATGTGATTCATGGCATAATATTGGCACTTCCTAAATTTCCAATGTTGGGATATTTTAAATACTCAATTTTCAGATTGTAGATATTCATCATGGAGAATTTTGTGAGACCAAGGAAATTTGAAGATGGCCTAGTTTGTAGTTTGCTTGGTTTTAATGTTTCTGTTCACATACTGATTTTTTTTTTAATTGAGTTTATTGGTACATTTAGGGATACAGTACAGTTACATTCATTGTTGGGATCATGTACCTTTACATGGCAAGTCTTGATTCTCATTTTTTTTCCCCTTACCTCTGCCCTCCCTTCACCCCCTCCTCCCCTCCCCATCTACAAACACTTTATTTTCATCTTTTCATTCTCTCACATTTTTTTCTTTTCCCTTTTTGTTCTTCCCCTACGTATCACACCTTCCCTACACCTTTAGCTCCTTTCCTCCCATTTCTAAATGTCAGTAATCTTATTAGAATCTTATGCATTGTTGCAGAATATTCACACCAGGGAAACTATTTGGTATTTACACATGTGGGACTTATTTATTTCACTTAGGAGTATATCTTCAATATGTATCCATTTTCCTATGAATGAATCTATTCTCTCGCTCTTTATGGCACATACTGATTTTTGAGGACCATTTTATTCTTGTGACTGCAAATTATCTTAGACATTTCCTGTACTTTATGTACTCATCTTCAATTCGGTCACCATCCCAGTTTCCAAGGGTGGAAACAAATATGACTTGCTACATTAGAATGCTTCACTGTACCAGTTAGATTCAAGGTACAATGTGAACATGCCAGGAAGTTTCCACATTCCACTTAAGGAAACTGCACAATGAACAACAATCAATGCTTTCCAATTGCATAAATGAGAAAAAGAAATCACTCTTACCTATAAAAGCCACATTCTTAAAGGCTTCCCACATCACATCTCCTTAGAACTTCTTTGGAGATGGATCCAGGAAAACCCACTCTTCTATGGTGAAGTTCACACCCACAACGTCACACAGGTCACATATCTCCTAAATTAGCAGACATAGGTATCCAGGAAAGTTGAGATTCACAACATTAAATATCTCAAATCTCATAAGAAGCTGAAATGAGGCTGAGTCCTCAAAATACTCACTTCATGAGGGGCCAGGGATTTATCTCAGTGGTTTTGCTGCCTGCCTCACAAGTGCAAAGTCCTGAGTTCAATCCTTGGTACAAAAAAATTTTTTTTACTTCATGCCTTGGACATCAAACACTCTACATTCATATGCCCATCACACACAAGAATTTGATGCTAGATTAGAATTCATTGCTAAAGCAACAGCAGAATGAGAACACTTCTACTGGTTAATCTATTTTCTACATGCACTGTCTCTAAAGCATGGTTCAAAGAGAGAGCCTAGATCAACATCCAAGTAAAAATCTCAAAAATGCCTAATGAACTACTCAGATAGTAGAAAAATACATCTTTTCTCAATTTAATATTTAGGGAACTAATCTCAGATTGTATTTGATAGAATTTTGAAACTGGTTTCATAAACAACTGAACTTTATAGATAACAACACTGAGGAAATTAATAAATGATTTAAACTTCATAAAATATTAGTTTTTATTAGAGCATTTAAGAACAATGAAAATATTGTACAGCTCAAGGACAAAAAATGATGATCACCTGTCATAGATATAAAAAATTTCTGGTGGTATAAGGGAAATAGGGAGTGGATATGATCAAAATACATATGTAATGAACATTTTTTTTAAATTAAGCATTAATAATGAAAGAAAAATGTAGAAAAATGTCATATCCTAATTTCCTTAGATTTGGCAAAATATTTGTAAGTGTTCAGTATAACAAATGTCGTAAATGTCTAATAACTAGTAAAGTGCTACACTGCTTAATATATAGGAGATTCAAAACCTCCATGTAGACTGATCTTCTAGTAGAGAGACACAAGAGTAAGAGTCTTTGATGGGCTCACAGGTAATAGTAATGATTCATGATAGAGCTCTTACTGAGCAAAATGGCAGAAATCACCATCTGTTTAATAAAAGAGGCAGGGACAAACTGGTACCTGTATTGAAAGATGCACTTTATTCATCAAAGTCCATGTACAATAATTTAGTTGTATTTTGATATAGGAAAGAGAAACTTCAATACTTTGAGAATTCCACCAAATATCTTTTGTATGTAAACAAAAATTCTTTTACCAGAAGAAAATCATGAAGCCATCAGAATTACTGATATCATGTAAGTCATGATGGACAACAGAGACAAGAAATTAAAAAAACATTTGCACAATATATAGTAAGAATTTGTATACTCAGTAAGAATCAACAAACACATAAGAAAAGTGAACAAAACATATGCACTTCAAGAGAAAACACTGAATATAAACAAGATCCATGACCTTGGTTCAGGAAATAGCCAAAGAAAATGGAATTGTGCAAAGACTTTACTAGTAGTAAGTACACTTATGAATAAATGATCAAATGACACTCCAGAGCCATATCTTATACTTTGGAGTATACCAATAACTACAGACCACTGACTTCATTCCAGTGTCCAGAAAATATATTGTGCTGCTGTTTCTGGAGGCAAATGTGATTTTTTTTCACAGCTATAAAAAATAAAATTGAAAAAAACTTTAACCACGTGATCACCATAATGGATGAGGAAGTCCTTTGCCCTTAACTCACACATGAGCACATGTGAAATACAGTGAGACAAATAAACCACATATAATGCATTTTTGTGCAAGTTCTATAGTACTCATTTACTGAATACTCCAAAGATTCAAAACTGAAAGAATACTGGTAGTGACAATGACACATGGTAAACTTAGGAAAAACAGCAAAAGAAGCAATTCAAGGAGAAGACAAGAGTAGGTAGTATAGGATTTCACGGGGGTACTCTTAGCCACTGCCCAGCTTTAAAAGGTTTTGAGTGTTCCCAGGATATTTATATTGTTACTATTGTCTCACCAAAACCCTTTTTGAAAATAAATTTATTGAAAAATACTTAAACACTAAATTACCACATGGGAACTATAAATTTATACATATTTGCCTACATCTAACAAGGAAAAAATCAGAGAACATGTACAGATTGTGCACAGTGAACAGTAAACAAAGCAGCACATGAAGGCTTCAGACACCAGCAAACAAGGGTCTGACTACTTGCTGAACATCAGGAGTGCAGATTAGAAACTTGGATAAAGAACATACAGATATGCAAGCTAACAATCCTCTTCTATCCTTGAGAGGAGTGGTTTTATGTTCAAATTTGTGAAGATATGGCAAAATCAATCAAACTTGGTAAACGAGAACAGAGTTCTCAACTGTGTACCAAATATCTGGACAGAATGAAAGAAGACACCTGGCCTGGGAGGTTAGGGTTAGGCTTGAATTTTTCATGAACTTATAAAGGATGGACTTCTCCCCACTATGTCCTTTCAGGTCAGTGCAAGTCACTTTATAAATTCACAGTTAAATTTCTCTTAATTGTTTATTATCTATAAGCATAACTGAATGCTTTTTGATGTAACTTACATAAAAAGCATTTGTCTCCTTTATGATTCATGAATTGGACAACACCAGAATGTGCTCAAAGTTTTTCTTCATTGCTTACATAGGTATGGTTTATAGCCAGTGAATTATTTCACATCTTACAAATACTGTGTGCTGAACTTTCCCACATTGCTTACATACAAAGGCTTTCTCCCCAGGGTGTTTTTTCATGTTCTTGACAGTACCTCTGAGTTGTAAAAGCTTTCCCACATTACTTACATTCATAGGATTTTTGCCCAGTGTGAGTTCTTTCATGTATTCGACAATATCTCTGTGTTGTGAAAGCTTTCCCACACTGCTTACATACATAGGGCTTCACCCTGCTGTGAGTTCTTTCATGTTTTCGACAACAACCCGGTGTGCTGAAAGCTTTCCCACACTGCTTACATACATAGGGTTTCTCCCCAGTGTGAGTTCTTTCATGAACTTGACAATTACTGTGTGTGCTAAAAGCTTTCCCACATTGCTTACATACAAAGGGTCTCTCCCCAGTGTGAATTCTTTCATGTATTCGACAATGACTCCGTGTGCTGAAAGCTTTCCCACATTGCTTACACACATGAGGTTTTTCCCCAGTGTGAGTTCGTTCATGTGTTCGGCAACTACTGAGTGTACTGAAAGCTTTCCCACATTGATTACATACATAGAGTTTCTCCCCAGTGTGAGTTCTTTCGTGTCTTCGACAATCACTGTGTGTGCTGAAAGCTTTCCCACATTGCTTACATTCATAGGGTTTCTCCCCAATGTGAGTTCTTTCATGTATTTGACAGTGACTGTGTCTGATGAATGCTTTTCCACATTGCTTACATATATAGGGTTTTTCCCCAGTGTGAGTTCTTTCATGTATTTGGCAAGCACCATGTCTGCTGAAAGCTTTCCCACATTGTTTACAGGCATAAGGTTTTTCCCCAGTGTGAGTTCGTTCATGCATCTGACAATTACCATGTCTGCTGAATGCTTTCCCACACTGCTTACATACATAGGGTTTCTCTCCAGTGTGAGTTCTTTCATGTCTTTGACAGTCACTGTGTGTCTTGAAACCTTTCCCACATTGCTTACATATACAGAGTTTCTCCTCACTATGAGTTCTTTCATGTCTTTGACAATAACTGTGTGTGCTGAAAGCTTTCCCACATTGCTTACATTCATTGGGTTTCTCCCCAATATGAGTACTTTCATGTATTTGACAATAACTGTATCTGATGAAACCTTTCCCACACTGCTTACATACATAGGGTTTTTCCCCAGTGTGAATTTTTTCATGTATTCTACAAGTACCAAGTCTGCTAAAACCTTTCCCACATTGCTTACATACATAGGGCTTCTCTCCAGTGTGAGTTCGTTCATGTATCTGACAATTACTGTGTCTGCTAAATGCCTTCCCACAATGCTTACATACATAGGGTTTCTCCCCGGTGTGAATTCTTTCATGAATTCGACAATTACTATGTGTGCTAAAAGCTTTTCCACACTGCTTACATTCATAGAGTTTCTCCCCGGTGTGAGTTCTTTCATGTCTTTGACAATCACTGTGTGTGCTAAAGGCTTTCCCACATTGCTTACATACATAAGGTTTCTCCCCAGTGTGAGTTCTTTCATGTCTTTGACAATCACTATGCGTCCGGAAAGCTTTCCCACATTGCTTACATTCATAGGGTTTCTCCCCAGTGTGAGTTCGTTCGTGTCTTTGACAATCACTGTGTGTTCTGAAAGCTTTCCCACACTGCTTACATTCATAGGGTTTCTCCCCAGTGTGAGTTCGTTCGTGTCTTTGACAATCACTGTGCGTGCTGAAAGCTTTCCCACAGTGCTTACATAGATAGGATTTCTCCCCTACGTGAGTGCTTTGATTTCCAAATGAAGTGCTATTAGTAAAAGATTTCCCATTCTGTTTAGATACATAGGTTTTTTTGCCAATATGAGCTCTTTCGTGTGTATGAATAAATTGATGAGAATTGAAACCTTTTCCACATTGTGTACATATATAGATATTCACTCCACTGTGATTTCTTTCCCAGATTTGAACACAGTTGGGTGTACTGACTTTCACATCCTGCTCATATACAGAGGGGTGGTTCTCTTCAGTGTTAGTTCCTGCAGTGGGATACGAGTATAATTTTCCATATTGCTTGTATTCATAAGGTTTCTCTCCAGGATTTGTATTTGCAGGCTTCTGAGAAGACTGGGATTCAGTGCAGGCTTTCCCATATTTGCTACAGCTAGACAGATTCTCTTCAAATCCCTGATACTCATATGATTTGAATCCCGTGTTCGCTATGATGGGTACATATAGGGATGAATGACCAATTACAGGGCTAGAGCCAAGGCTTTCGCTTGGTTTTGTACCAGCTGTTTTTATGTTTACATTAGTATCTGTAGTCCAGAAAATCATTTCTCCATGTTGATACCATAATTCATATTCACCAAATTTCTCTATTTCTTCACTGCTGTAAAGGAATAAAATAAAATAACCAATCACATTTAAAAGTATCTCTTAATGGTTTACTGGGAAGAGATCTGGTTTGCTGCTACCTAAAAATATATGATCATGAGTTTACCGTATACTCTGCATGATGCTTGGAAACAGCTTTTACCTAACCAGCAGTATTCATTTGGCAGTTTATAACTGACATATTTGCAAAGCATAACTCTTTCATGTTGATGAATTGGTAATATGTGTATGTTATTTTTCTCACCCTTTTTCCATGACCATCCCCCCACCTCCACTACACCTCTTCACCCTCTCCAAAATGCCTGCCTCTCTTTTTTCTACCATCTGTCCTTTACTAAATCCTTACCTCATAATTTGGGTTTCTTATACTAAACATAACACATGATATTGAAATTTCTGTGTCTGAATTGTATTATTGACTCCATATCCATCCACTTTTTTGGAAACTGACATCACTTCACTCTTTGTCATGTATACACATATTTTTTCAGTGCTGGATATTTAACCCAGGGGTTTAGCACTGAGTTATTTATTTCACATTCTGAAACAAAGACTCATCAGTTATTAAGTTTCTAGGCTGAACATGAATGTATGATGTCCTGCTTCAGCTTCCTAAAGTGCTAGGATTCCACATATGCATCATCACTCCCAGGCTATCCCATACTTACTTAATCAGCTCATCTGTGAATGGACATCTAAGGTGTTTCCCAAATTTAGATTCTGTAAGTTGTACTGCTACAAACAAGGCTACACATGCATTACTGTAATATGATTACTTTAATTTGGGGGGAATAAACCCAGGAAAAGTACAAAATGGAATTTCTATTTTTACTTTTTTGAAGAAGCTTTATACACATTTTCAGAGATGTTACACTACAATGACATTATGGAAATGTCCCTTCTAATATTTTGGAACATGAGTAGACTGAACGCTTTGGAGAACTGCTTGACATAAATCACTATAAAAAAAGTAGCATTTATTTGGATTTTGAATATGTTCACAAGGATAGCAATTTTGCATACATTGAATGTATATACCACAGTTAAGTACATGCAGCCTTCCTTATACATTTGACCTGAATGTTGTCTTCTGAAAATACACATATATAGATATCCTGAATTTGACTCTCAGTCAACACAAAATTCGTTTTATATACTCCTGTAATAAATGCCTAAATTCAATTTCATATAAAATTTGTATAATCTTGATGGAAAATTATTTATTCTTTTACATTAATGTCACTTGTGGAATAATGGCAGTATTGCTTACATTTAAAATACTGTAATATTTCAAATAGATTATAGATAATCAACATATTTGCATCTTTGGAGAAATGTGTTATTAAAGAAATTGGAACTTGGCTGCATTTGTATAGTTTGCTTGGTATTAATATTTTAATTCTTAAGAAACAATGTTCTTGTGAATGCAAATTACCTTAGATTTCTCCTGCAATTTTTGTACTCATCTTCAATATTCTTACTATCCCTGTTTCTTCCTAAAGTGTAGAAAGAGAAATGTAATGATGAGTTACTACATTACATAAAAATTCAGAGATTCCAGTTAGAATTATAGTGTAACGTAACCATGACTGGAAAGTCATCAAGTGTTTCCATATTCCGATGAAGTAAACTGAAGTGATAAGCAACAACCAGTGCTGACTGCGTAAATGAGAAAGGATACTGTCCTTACCTATATCAGCCACATTCCTAAAGGTTTCCCACATCACATCTCCATACAGCTTCTTTTGTGATGGATTCAGCAAGGCCCACTCCTCCACGGTGAAGTTTACAGCTACATCCTCAAAGGATACTTCCTCCTAAATCATCAGACATAGACATCCAGAAGGAAGAGTGAGACAACGTGAAACATCTCACATCTACTCATAAAAAGCTGAAGTGAGTCTGAGTCCTGCAAATGTTTAATTCATGCTTTGGTCATCAAACACTTATTTTCCATTCATATATACACTTGCACAAGAATTTTGACGCTAGACTAGAATTCAATGCTAAAGCAACAACAGAATGGGAACACTGGGTCTCCCCTTGGTTAACTTCAGTTCTACTTGAAAACTGTCTGAAGCGTGGTTTATATCGGGATTCTATAAGATCAGCATCCAAGTTTAAAAAAAAACTATGGTAGAAAAATATCTGATGAACACCTCTCACAGATCATAGAATATATTTTTCCCAATTTATTATTTATTAAATTGATTCCTTCCTTTTCTGATTATATTTCGACAGCATTTTGAACCTTGAACCTAATGGCATAGACAAAAACATAACTGAGTGCAAAAGTAAAAGTCATGAATGACAATTGGGAATGCTAATGAAAAATACTAGTTTTTATTGGAGAACATCTAAGAACAATAAAATTAGAGTAAGGAAGACAATATCTTACATCTCAGATTATCAGGCGATTCCTAAACACCCTACAATGCCTTTGGCAACATGGTGCAGTTTTTCAAAATTTAAGAATTCACTGCCATCACTATGAGGTCAAGGGTTAAGGGAATATGTTGTGCAATGCTGTATCCTAGATATTTACCAAATTTAGTTATCATTTAGCCACTTTCACATCCCACAGACAAAATATCTAATACATATGACTTAAAAGACGAAAAGGATTAGTTTGGCTTAAAGCATCAGTTCATGATAACTGGCACCAAGGAAGTCACAGAATGGCAAAGAAAAGCTGCTCAACTCATCCAGGAAGGAAGCAGAGAAATATGGGATGAGAAAGAAAAGGGAATGTAACGTTCCAGGCCACATCACAGTGACCTACTTCCAGCCATGCCCTCCATCCAAAGAGCACACTCATCTACCGAAATCATAAATGGTTGTACACACTGATGAGAATAGTTTGCACATAATCCAGTCAGCTTCCAAACCCATGGAGCAGCCGAGGTTCATTTTTGATACAAATCATAACACCAGGTCTGCTGATGGGTTAAATACAGGGCACCCCTCACACCACAGCATCACTCATACACAAATTTTCCACATGAGCCAGGAATCTCCCAACCACCCTGCCACTGTCACTGCACAACATGGTGAGAGGTGGGGTTGCAGGCACAGCTGCCCATGACAGGGCTGTGCCATGCTGCAGTCACCTCAACTGGACAAGGATGACTAGGTATTGGCAGCTGCCTCAACCCAACACAGAGTTTCTGGAAACCCCAAGTGCATACAAGCAGCTACTGATACATAGAAACAAATACCCGCTCATTGCTGCAGGGGCCCAGGTTTGGCCAAGGTTGATTCTGTCTTCTTCTGGCCAGATATTATGCTTCTTTCAAAAAATCCACTCCTGTCCTGAGTCACTGGGCCTTGCGCTTTCATCATTTCCAGGAATGAGGGTCTCCCAGTGTCCTTTCTGTGCACGCTGTAGTACATAAACTCCACACAGCAAGTCAGTCTGAGGTAGCCGGAGTGGCTCTTAGCTACACACTGGGAGCTTCTCACTTGGGTACCAGAAAGAAGATTCTCATCCCTGGCCAGGGTGCCTGATTCGACAGTTTACACAGCACCAATGCTTCTTTCCTGATGCACTGCTGCTTCATTTGCTGCCTTATGAGCCAAGGGGAACAAGAGAAAAAAACGGACTATCTGTTTGGGAGAAGCTCAAATGACAGGCTGAAACCAAACCCTTCTCACACAGGCTTTCTCCGAGGATGCTGATTTGACTTACAATAAGGGAATAGCTGTGAAGCAATTTTTCTCCTAGCATTGAAGAGCTGCCACTGTCTTAGTTTGCTCAGTGGGCTCTGCCTATGTTTTGTCCTTAAAAATGGGGTCACTAGTGTATCCTTGTACTTCCAGACTCAAAGTCTAAAGGAGGAAACCCCAAACTCCAAACCCCAAAGACCATAGGTCCAGGAAATGACAGGACACAATGAAGGAAAAAAAAGGGGGGGGAGCTGAATGTTTTCAGAGGGTAGAAATCTGAATAAGTCACTGGGGTATATTGCACAGACTTATCTATCAATCTACTTATTTTTAGCCAAAGAGGGGAAAAACATACTTAGAAGAGAATACAATTATTTCACGAATAAAGCTGGCATAATATGATAGTAAAAACATGCCGAAAAGACAATGTAACTATTGCATATATAAACTGGAGTAAAATGGTAGTAGTATGCAAAAGAATCCATATGAAAGGAAATATTTCAACTGTCTCAAACAGGCAATCTACTTCTTTCAAAGTCACTAAGAAAAATCTGCATTCTGATGACCACAGAGATATTTCTAAACATGAAGGCAAGGGTGGTAACTGAAATACAGCCCAACCAATGACTTTTCTGATCACCAAGGACTTCCCTGTGAAGCAGGAACACTTAAGGTTCTAGCCCTGTGAACTTTGTGTACTCCAGTGTCCTCTTCAGATGTTGAAAGCCTCTCACCTTCATAACATTAATTTCACCACAGAAAAGGTCTGACCTGGAGTCATCTAATACTTAGGCTCCACGATGAATGTGATTAGTTTGAGAGATTCTTACCATACTGGTAAAATGTTTGTCTCTGTGGGTCTGAATCATGCATAGAAGAATGGGCTTAGGGACTGTGTCTGTACCCCAGCCCTTCCTCTCAGACTTCCCCTGTACTCTGCGTGGTGCCTGCCAGGAGATGGGGGGCACCTTCCTCCTATCACGCTACTTTTTTAACAACAAGGACAACTTGAACTAACGTCCTTAAATGTATGAACCAACAGAATGCTTTTCTTCTTCTATGTGTATGAGACACATATTGTAAAATCAATTTTAAAAAATCCACTGCATGTGTCTGACCTAAAGCACCTAAATTAATCCTTCTCTAAGGATTCCCTTCAGATATTTTTTGTGTGTACAAACTATGGTCTGACAACATTAGCATTTTAAAATAAAAACCAAGCATTTTCCAGAAAAAGACTCACTGAATCCAATAACAACTTTAGCAAACACGCATCACTAAATCTATGTGCATGTGAGATACCTGTTTTCCAGCATTATGAAGCTTGTCATGGTCAATAGTCCTTCTACAACAACAACAACAACAACAACAACAACAACAACAACAACAACAAAGTCCTTCTGCAGCTCTTCTACACACACAGATACAGGGACTTCTGCAGGCCAAGATACACCAAGACAAACTGCAATGCCATTCCTTTGCCTTTATTTATTTATTTATTTTTTGGTACTGAGGATCGAACTTAGGTCCTTGAGCTTGCAAGGAAGGCGGCGGAACCACTGAGCTAAATACCCGGCTCCTTTGCCTTTTAACATGAGTCTCAGCTTAAAGTCACTGGCCTTAAGTTTGTGCTACCAAGTTCTTATTTTTTGCCTATTTCTCACCAACACAGAGAACTTAAATGAGACAGATACAAAATCCAAATCTTTTACTACTAAACAAGAAGGACCATTGCTTTTCTTCTGAGTTTTCACACGAAGTAGAAAAAAAAATTTTAAGCTAATCTATATGGATTTAAACCTTGCAAATACTTATTCTCTATTTAAAAATAGGGCTATGGGTTGTAGCTCAGTAGTAGAGTGTCTGCCTAGCATACATAAGGCCAGGGGTCTATTACCTCATGCTGGAATGAAAAATCAAACAATGATGTCATAAAACTGATTGTCATATGATAAAATGTTCACATCAACTAATCAAATGAAATAATTCACTTTTTTCCGTGCATTGGTGACTCCCTCACAATTCTAGTTGAATATTGGAAAAAAATGACATGCTTTGTTTACATTTTTTTGTTTGTTTTTTGAGACAGTGTCTCACTTTGTAGTTCAGTCTGGCTCTGAACTCACTATGTAGTCCAGGCTATCCTCAAACCTGTAGAGATTCTCCTGCCTCAGCCTCCTGAGTGCTGGGATTACAGCTGTGCACTACCACTCCCAGCCTGTTTACAAATTTAAAACTACCTCTTGACTTCACCACATTTACTTACCCCAGTACTCATTTCTATAATAAATGCTAAACATCACAAAAGTTCCTCTATTTTCAAAAAGTGTAACTCCCCCAAAATTGCTCTGTACCTGAAAATTCACATATTGTTTACACTTTTAAAACCATATCTTCACTTCACCCACCTCCAAGGTACTAACCCAGGTACTGCCTTCTACAATAAATCCTAAGCATCTTAGAGGTAGGGTCAGAACCCTCAATAATGACATGCAGGCATCTGTCCACTTCTACATTCTCTATGTTTTACTAGAAATTTAAGCTGCAAGTGCCTTGATGTTGGCTTTATAAGCATTTACAATTGTGAAAAATACTTTTATCAGTAAACAACATTTTAACAATATTTTCATATTATATTTGGGGGTGCTGCAATGTACAAAAACTGTTACCAACATTTCATTTGTGAATGGTACACCAGCAGCAAGGGTAGCAGCCACACAATGAAAAACAGTATTTCCATTTGCTATTTTAATCTAGATTGATATACCTACTAATGTGGGGGTGTTTTCCCAATTTTCTTTCCCTCAGAAAGCCATATAATTACTGGCATGGGTAACCAGTGGAATTCACAAAATGGACTGCTGTTTCACTCAGTCAGTGTCAATACATTTATATGAAGTCAATGACAAAAATAAATCTCTATATGGAATTCAAAACTAAAGTTATGTAGGAACCCACAGTCAGAGTCCAAAAGCCACATGGGAATCTCTACATAATGCATTCAAAACCCCAACTCTTTAATAAATAGCAAACAACATGCCATATTTATAAAGGTAAAATATATCTAAATACCCCCAAATATAGAAGATTTTTTTGAAAAAATATATAGCTTATGGTCATGGCTTGGATCCCCTGATAATTGATGTCAATT